CCCATGCGAGTCATTGGGCCATCTTCTATTGCTTTCCCAGGCCATAGCAGAGAGCTGGATGGGAAGTGGAGCAGCTGGGACTCAAACTGGCACCCTTATGGGGTGCGAGCACAATAGGTGGCAACTTTACCTGCTCTGCCACAGTGCTGGCCCCTACCCTTTCACTTTCCCTACAGACAGCTTACTCCCACTCTTGGAGGTTGTAGAAACTGGAATGAATAGTGGAAAGAGGGCTGGGCTGAGGCAGGAGAATGCAGATTTGGTTCAGATTTTGCTTCTGCTTAACTGTGTGACCTTGAGTAGGTCACTTCACTGGGTTTCAGCTTTGGTTGAGATGATCTCTGCAGCCCCCTTCATTGTTTTAGTAATTCTTTGGTATTTCATCTATTCCTCAACCACTGATCTAGTCGTGTGGGAGGATGGAGTTGGGTTCTTTGTATAATCATTATCAAATTTTAATGAGTACCAGAACGACCTGGGAACTTAGTGGTTTAATTTCCAGGTTCTCCCAGGGATTCTAATTTAGTTAGGATTAAAACAAAAAAATAATCTGATGCGTATGTCTATATATTACAACACTAGAAATGCTGTTTCTGTAGGTTCTAATTATGGTCAAATATTTGTCTTAGTTTATTATGAAAACCAGATATCTGCCTTATCAATTACAAATATGATTGCAGGGTAAATGTAGCAGAAATAGGAAAAAGTTGATATTCTTTGGTGTTGCTTTGAAACCTTAAAGATTTCTTTAAAATGCCTTCATGTGCTACCAGATGCCCGCATGAGGATGTTTAAGCCCATTTGCATTCTGAGACACTTAGCTGGCTTTGTAGTGTTGTGTTTTTTAGGGGAGAATATGGTTAGTACTCAATTCCTCTTGTTAGAGTTAGGGGGGTGGGGGCTACAGGGTAGAGGTTATTGACCTTTTCACCGAACAAGACACTAGTTCAACTATTTTGCATCTAGTAGAACGGAAATTACTTACCAGCATTTGTGCAAGTGTGATGGTACTACTGCAAGTATTAATCCCAAGAAAATCGCTGAGTTTATAGGCTCTTCCCATTCCCATTTATTTAGATGAATGTTAGTGCCTCCTCCCATTTTTGCATAGACTCTGGAGTCCTTCCCCCCCCCCCCCAAAAGATTTATTTATTTGAAAGGCAGAATGACAGGGAGAGACAGACATCTTCCATCCATGGTCACTACCCAAATGCCTGCAGCAGCCAGGGCTGGGTGAGGCAAAACCAGGAGCCAGGAACTCCATCCTGGTCTCCTGCACTGGTGCAAGGGCCCAGCATTTGGGTCATCTTCTGCCACCTTCTAAGGCTCAAAAGCAGGGCACTGCATCAGAAACAGAACAGCTAGAACACAAAGTGGCATTTCCATATGGGATGCAAGCGTGCCAGGCAGTAACTTAGTCTGCTGAGCCACAGTGCTGGCCTCTGGAGTTTCCCATCTTGTAGTAAATGCATAGCTTCCTCACATTTCAGATAGATTTGTTAGCATGTGCCTCTGTTTCTGGGACTATGGCTGTCACAAGTTGTCTGAGGAACTCTGTGCATCAGACTCGCATTACACTATGACAGGAGTACTCTTTTTCAGTTGAGATCTTTTTTTTTTTTATTTTTTTAATTTTTTTAATTTTTTGACAGGCAGAGTGGACAGTGAGAGAGAGAGACAGAGAGAAAGGTCTTCCTTTTGCCGTTGGTTCACCCTCCAATGGCTGCCGCGGCTGGCGCGCACCGCGCTGATCCGATGGCAGGAGCCAGCAGCCAGGTGCTTTTCCTGGTCTCCCCATGGGGTGCAGGGCCCAAGCGCTTGGGCTATCCTCCACTGCACTCCCGGGCCATAGCAGAGAGCTGGCCTGGAAGAGGGGCAACCGGGACAGAATCCGGCGCCCTGACCGGGACTAGAACCCGGTGTGCCGGCGCCGCTAGGCGGAGGATTAGCCTAGTGAGCCGCAGCGCCGGCCCAGTTGAGATCTTAAAGCATTTACCAGCAGGTAGTATTTAGATTCTCATTCTTTAAGCCGGGTAAATTCATGTGTCGTTTTGCTCTTACAGATAGTATTGCCTTTAAGTTGGAGGTCCCCCCCTTAGAGCAGCCCGTTGTGGGAGAGAGAGCTCTGACTGACTGCTCCCCTTTGTTCCTTAGGTGAGGTTGGTGCATACGCTGGGCTGCCACTTCCCCCCTTCACTGTCACCCTCTTTAGCACCTGTCAGTAAATGGTCACCACATCCAGGCATCTGCTGGTTGTGTTTTGTCTTATTTAAGTCATTAGTACCTAGGGGAGAACATGACAAAAGGAGAGAACAGCAGCCCCCCTCCCCCCCGCCCAGTTTTAATAAGGTATGATTGACAAAGTGCAAATTTAAGCTGTGTAACTTGATGATCTGCTATATATATGTATTGTGCAATGGTTACCATGGTGTTAGCACAGTTACTTTGTGTGTGTATGTAGTGAGGTGAGAGTATTTAGGGTATACTCTGCAGATTTCAAGCATACAATACATTGTTAACTATAGTTACCATCCTGTACAGTAGGACTCCAGAATTTGTTCATCTCAAAACTGGAAGTTTGCTTCTTCTAACTAACATCTTCCCATCTCTTCCACCCACAGACCTCTTGCAACCACTGTTCCACTCTGTTTCTGGGTTCTGTCCTCCATGAGGGGAGATTATGAAGTATTTGTCTTTCTCAATCTGACTTATTGTCCTCCAATTTCATCTATTTTGTTGCAAATGCGAGGATTTCCTTTTTATGGATGAACAATATTCTACTGAATATATATACCACAATTAAGTTTGTTGACAAATACTTGTTTCTGTGCCTCAGCTATTGTGAATAATGGTGCAATGAACTTGGAAGTATAAATATTTCTGCGAGTTAGTGATTCCCTTTTCTTTGGATAATATATACCCAGAAGTGGGATTACTACACCTACATCATATGGTGGCTCTGTTTAATTCTCTGGGGCCTCCATTCTGTATTCCATAATGGCTATACTAGTTTTACCCTCACACCAACAGTATGTGGGGTTCCCTTTTCTCTACATCTTTGTTAACACTTTTTATCTCTTGTCTTTTTGGTAGTAGTCACCCTAACGGGTGAGAGGGAGATAGCCCTTGGGGTCTGATGTGCATTTCCCTGATGACTAGTTATGCAGAACACCTTTTTATGTACCTTTTGGCCATTTGTAAGAGGCAGGTGTTAATAACTTTTTATGGCTAATATATATACTCTTTTTTAATTATTTTTTTATTTTTTATTTTGACAGGCAGAGTGGACAGTGAGAGAGAGAGAAAGGTCTTCCTTTGCCGTTGGTTCACCCTCCAATGGCCGCCGCAGCCAGCGCACCGCGCTGATCAGATGGCAGGAGCCAGGTACTTCTCCTGGTCTCCCATGGGGTGCAGGGCCCAAGGACTTGGGCCATCCTCCACTGCACTCCCTGGCCATAGCAGAGAGCTGGCCTGGAAGAGGGGCAACCGGGACAGAATCCGGCGCCCCGACCGGGACTAGAACCCAGTGTGCCGGCACCGCAAGGCAGAGGATTAGCCTAGTGAGCTGAGGCGCCGGCTATAATATATACTCTTAAGAACAATTATTGTTTGTAACACAGTCAGGAAGCACTTAGCAGTGAGTAAATGTTTTGTACAATAGAGAGTTCTGCCATAGCTCGTTCTGGGAAGAATTAGTCTCAGTGCCTCTTTGGAAAGCTGTTAGCCTGAAGGCAACTGTCTATTTTTACATGTGTTTGTTTATTCCTTCATTTAAAGTTGTGTTTGGAGACCTGGGGCTTAACCTGTATGGGTGCCAGTTTGTGTTCCAGCTGCTTCACTTCTGATCTGGCTCCCAGCTAATGTGCTCCGGAAAAGCAGCAGTAGATGGCCCAAGTGTTTGGGCCCCGAGACCCAGACGAAGCTCTTGGCTTTGGCTTGGCTTAGCCGTAGCCATTGCAGCCATCTGGAGAATGAACCAGCAGATGGAAGAGCTCTCTCTCTCTCTCTTTGTCTCTCCCTCTTTCTGTAACTCTTTCAAATAAATCTTAAAAAAAAAAAAAAAAAAAAAGTTTTGTTTGAAGATCTTAATGTTAGGACATAGGTCAGCTATGAATAAGACATTGCCCTGGTATAAGGAACTCAAGTCCATAGAGAAAGCAGATGGAGAGACAGACAGGACCTATACTGGGTGATATGTATAGAGTAAGATGAGAAGAAAGCATGTTCTCCAAAAGGGGGTGATAATGGAGCTGAACTCCTGACAAGCAGGAGTTCCACTGGCAGAAGCAGAAGAAAGGACGTTCCTATTCATTCCTGTGCTCGGGCAGGGAGATTGGAGGGTTAGGATTGGGTGGCATGTAAACTAAATTCCTGAGTCCCAGCTCCGATTCCAACTCTAGCTTCCTTCTAATGTACCTTGGGAGGTAGCAGATAATGGCTCAAGTGCTTTCTTCCCTGCTACACATATGAGAGACCCAGATTGAGGTCCAGCCTCCTGGCTTTGGTCTGGGCCAGCCCTGACTGTTACAGGAAGAAAACCAGTAGACGGGAGATCTCTATCTCTCTACACTTTTTTTTTTAATGTTTATTTTTTATTAATTTGAAAGGCAGTTATAAAGAGGAGAGAGAGAGATCTTCTATTCACTGGTTCACTCCCCAAATAGCCACAGTGGCCAACGCTGAGCCAGGAGCTTCATCTGGGTCTCCCATGTGGATGCAGGGCCCAAGCACATGGGCCATATTCCTCTGCTTTCCCAGGAGAATTAGCAGGGAGCTAGATCAGAAGAGGAGCAGTCGGATCTCGAACCAGCACCAATATGGGATGCTGGCCTTGTAGGTGGAGGCTTAACCTGCTATGCCACAGTGCGGGCCCCTATTACTCTACCTTTCAACCAGTAATAATTTTTTTAAAAGAAGGACATTTCCAAAATAAATAAATTATTGGGTAATGTTATGTTACTGGCCCTTTGTTTCAAAATCTTTCCACCCCTGTTTTCCAGGAACCCGAATCATTTATGATCGAAAATTTCTGTTGGATCGTCGCAATTCTCCAATGGCTCAGACCCCACCCTGTCATCTGCCCAATATTCCAGGAGTCACTAGCCCTGGCACCTTAATCGAAGACTCCAAAGTAGAAGTAAACAATTTGAACAACTTAAACAATCATGACCGGAAGCATGCAGTTGGTAAGAGAGTAGAGTTCAAGAGGGTTGCTTTGGAAAGTTGAGTGTTAGTTTGCTGTAGGCTGAAAAAATATTGTGAAGGGAGGAAGGGAATAGCATTTTATTCTTAGAATTGTATCCACCGAGTATATTGAATCTGTTAAAAACTACTTAAAAAAAAATGATGTTTTGGTGATAACTGATGTTCAGTTAAGTATCTCTAAGGTTGCCCTTCTTCCCCCAAAATTTATTGAAGCCCTGAGTTCTAAATCATAATCAGATCTACTTTAGTGATGGGGAAGAGGGATCCAAAATCAGGGAATGGTCAGCTCAGAAGGTGATTCCCTAAACAGTGCTTTGAGGACTGCCTGGCCAGGGATGGCACACACAAGGAAAGCAAGAAACAATTTCAAAGCCCAAATTCCCATCCCCTTCAGGAAATAGACCTTGTTTCTAACAAAAAGAATGTCCTTTCTGTGGTGTGGAGAAATGCAGAGTGGTTTGTTTCCCAGAGCTGCCTGTAATATTTGCACAAACACTGCTCTGCTCACATGCGCATATACACACACCTGTAGTCAGGAGTCCTCTCTATAGAAGCAGAACAGCGAGGTGAAAGTGACCAGCTCCTGAAGTACATCTCAGGAGTTGCACGTGGGGGCCCCTGGGCATGAGCCAGCATTCTACTTTTTCAGATTCCAAATGAGTGTTTAATGGACAGTGTGTTGATTCAGAGCAGGGCCCAGGTTCAAAGCCACAAGGAGAGAGTGCTTACTGATGAGCGGTAATGAGCTCTAGGGAGTAGCTGCTTGGTCACCCTGTGGACAGGACGGCACTGGAAAAGGTCATTTGTGTCTTTTCCCCACAATGTATCTCTATGGGTGATATGACTGCCATTCTTTTTCAGACTAAAATGACCAGCCAACACAAAGCAGAATCATTGTTTTAAGGCAACAAGGAGTAGGGCATTCTGGATTTTTTGTGACCCTTGTGAAGTGGGAATGGTGGTTGAAACTCTGCTTTTCCCTTTTGTGCTAAACTTTTTATTTTCTTTTCCTAACCAGGGGATGATGCTCAGTTTGAAATGGACATCTGACTCTCCAGCGAGGATTAGAAGAAGAGCAACAGCATGGAGGCCTGTGTGTACCTGGCTTGACCAATAGGATCCACAGTGCAAAGACAAGAGGCAGCACCAGCATTCCCCCTTGCAGTTTGCACTGCCCCCCCCTCCTGCAGGTGCCAAATAATGGGATGATGAGCTGCATCTGACCATTTCTCCTCCTCTCCTCTTACCCTTCCCACTTAGATTAGCTCGAAGGCCCTGGGAGTATTTGTGTAGAACCAAGCAGTCCTTAGTAGAAACATTTGAACCAGCTTCCTTGGTCATTTTTCTATTGAAAACCATCCCCCCTCAGATCTGCCCCAAACCAAATCTCAGCACCCCGATAACTTCCTGCTGGGGCTTCCGGCAAAGGGATCCAAAGGTTTGGCGGGTTCTGCATTGTTCATTTTCCTTAACCTCCTCTCTCCTCCCTGGCTCTGGATCCTGCCTGTGCTTCAGTGCTGCAATAATGTGGGTTTGGGTCTTTACTGCCACCAGAGGAACTGACAAAAGAGAGAGCTGCTCTCCCTTTTACCTTCAGCATGTGTCCTTTAGGACGGCACACGGTTTGTGTGGCTCTGGTAGCGTTACCCTGTGACACATTTTGAAACCCCTTTCCCTCTTTCCTCTGGGAGGAGTGCCTTCTGCCCTGGTCTCATAGTCCATCCTGCCGTTCCTTTCCATAGATGTGTGTGCAGACATGTTTAAACTGTGTCAGAAGAGAGCCCACAGGAATGGTTGTTCTTTGCTCCCTGCCATTCCTGCCTGCTTGCTCTGACTGCTGGCAGAGTCCTCTCTATATCCGGGTGGTTTATCTGCTCCCAGAGCAAGTCCATCCCAAATAAGAGAGGCGCATCAGCCTCCACTGGTGGGGAAAGCCCGAAGGCAGTATTGTGCCAGGTCACCCATGAGGATGGCCCCTGGAGAGTGTTGGATCTCTGGCATACCCTGTCCCAGCAGTCGCTGTTTTAAGAGCCAATGAGCATTGTCATATTTGTTGTCCTCTGTGTGAGTTTAAAGCTGCCTCTCAGGTTATTCCAAGACAAGAGCTCTCTTTCCCTTGGCTGTTTGCTTTGCTTGACTGCTGGGATAGATAAGCATGGGCTTCAGAGGGCGTTCCTCCCAGTTTTCTTGCCTTTCCCACTGTACTCTGGACTTTCCCTTCCTCATCATTCCTTCTTCCTCCCTCTTTCCCTTCTCTGCCAGGCTGTTTTTCAAATCCACTTCAAAGATACCTCTAGTGTTGGTATCTGATAATACCTGTTACTGCTCTTATTTGAGAAGTAACCTTTTATTTTTAAGATGACTACAGACCTATTTTTAGATATGTTTTCAGTACAATTCTGAACAGCAACTTTTTAATTAAACACCATCCAGTGTTAGGAAGGTGGGAAATGTCCATTGGCAAGTCTGCTGTTCTGTGTCACATCCCAGTCCCTTCTGAGCTCTCTCCTGCCTCCCCCAACTTGGGTGTGTGTGTCTGCAGTTTGTAGAGTGGTTTGTGAACCTGGATCATTCTGCCTTGCTGTGGGTTGTTCAGGAAACCCACCCATTCTTTCTGCTGGCCCTGTGCTTTCTCATTCACCCTCCTTGCCTCCTGCCTGTCCTGGGGCTGTGGACTGGCACAGTAATCCCAGGAGCGGGACTCCCCTCATAGATGAATGCCACCGTGTCCTTCCTGGAAATTGGCAACAATCAGACTCCAGGGTGAGAGCAGGGCTACTCCTGATCAGCTAAGAAAGAAAGCTGTTTATCTTTGGAACTATCAACGCCCCTGTTTGTGAACACATTGTAGGAAGAAGAGAGGAGAGATGTCTGTGGAACTTTGTTCTGTTTTCTGCTACAAAATGTGAATAGCTCAAAGAGTGAAAACCTTTTGTGATGGTTGATGTCTCAGGAATAAGCTGGATCTCCAATGTTTGGGGGATGCTTTGACTCTCAAAAACCGATAATCAGAAAAGTATTTTTTTTTGTTTGTTGAATGTGTCCCTGTTCTGATTTTAATTAAACTCCAAATTTCGCTTTACATACTCTTTGGAAAACTAAGTTGCGCATTCATTTGCATAAGAAGCTTGCTGAGGACCTCTTTGTACCCTGGGGAGTTTGCTTCTTTGGGAGTGAAGCTTTGCATTCTCCTACCATGGCCTTGGCCTCTTGGAATCTGACTCCTGCTGGCAACTAACAGTCTGCTGGAGGGCGGAAGAGCTGCCTCTTCTCCATCTTATTGCTGGATTCAGCTCAGGAAGTGTCAGGATGCCTGTGGCCCCTAATCAGAGGCTGTGCCTCCTGGTGCTTGTTGGGAGTGTCACTTGTGTGACTCAGAGGCTGCCTTGTCCCTTGCCCTCCTTACAGGGATCTCCTCACTGCTTGGTGCAGGTCTTTCCTGCAGGCTGCCACAACTGGAAATACTTTGGCTTCTAGAAATAATTTTAAAATCACGTCACGAGGCAAGAGAAACTTCCAACAGATAACATCTCTGTGCCCTGCCTTACAGAACCATCTTCAGAGCCGGCTGGAGTCCAATAGGTGGTTTACCTCTGGGCATTGGAAGGAACCTCATGGCTGAGGCCCTGTGTATGTGTCCTGGCGTTTCCTGGGAGGGGAAGCACCCTTAACTTACCGTTTGAATGAGACGGTTCTTTTCTTTTATGAGGAAGCCATGTTTCTATATTTCTGGGGACAATCAATCTTAATGATGGGAAATGCGCTTTTCCCAGATTTCAGCAGGTCACATACATTGTCAGGTTTCCACCTTCTGTATAGCACGAATCCTTGAGTTCGCTGCTGCTTTTCTGTTTAATTAGGTGTTAATTAGGTGTTGCACAGGAGCAGAGACACTGGCTTCCAGATACTGGCTTCTGATGGAAGAGTATTAGTTACTTACTGCTGTGTAACAAAATATCTCTAAACTTAGTATCCTAACATAACAAGCATTATCTGTTGGTTTCTGTGCTTGAGGAATTTGAGGCTTAGCAAGGATGGTTCTGGTGCAGGGTCTCATGAAGTTGCAGTCAAGATGTAGGCAGGGGTTGCTGTTATTTGGGACTAGAGAATCCAGTTCCATGTTCCCTGTAGCTGTGAGCGGGATGCCTCCACATAGGAGTCTCCATAGGGCAGCATGAATGTCTTTACTCCACAGTAGCTGGTTTGGCCCTCAGCAGATGATCCCAGAGAGGGGCACAGGGCAAGGAAAAAGTTGCTATGCCTTTATTATAGTAACTTGTTTAAAATTAATTTGAGAGGGAAGGAGGTAAGAACTCCCATCTGCTGGCTGACTGTCCACAATGACTCTCAAGGGCAGAAGCTAGGAGCAGGCCTCCTGTATGGGTGGCAGAGACTTGAGGCGTCACCACTATCTCCTAGGGTACGCATCACCAGGAAACTGGATGTGAGGGCCAGGACTCAAAGCCAGGTACTCTGATGTGAGACATGAGTGCCCTAACTGGCAGCTAATTACTAGGCAAATACTCGCCCCCTGTAGTGCCTTTTATGACAGTCTCCAAAAGCACATGCCGTCACCCATTACTCCACCAGTGAACGACTAACCCTAGCCACACCCCCAGCAGAGGATGAAGCCAGGTCGGCCTGGAGGCACAGTCATCGGGATGGTAAACCGGGAGACACAGTGCTACCACAAACAGACTCTTAAGATGCACATCACCAAAGCGAGACCCAAGACTGCTCTTCCCCAGAGCCGCCTGCTGGTTTTAAGGGCCATGGTGAGCGTCCATCTGCCTGACTGGCAGCAGCCCAGGAATGCTCATTTGCAAGTCCTAAACTCTCTAAGATTGAGTCACCGTGTTTTCCCTTAGCCAGGAAAAGGGGTTGGAGCCTCCCAACTGAGCGACTGCTGAGCTGTCTGAATTAGAGTCCGGGTTGTCGAGCAAGGGGAGCACGGATGAATCAGATGTTAGGTACTGAGCTGAAGAAAGGACAGCCATCGCGTTCAGGGTGAAATAGAAGACAGGGTCTGGACGCCAGGTCCAGTCGGTGCTTGATGCCTGCTGCTCTCATCCCGCGCACCAGCTGAAGCAGCAGTGTCAGGTCAAGTCTGTCACCAGGAAGCAGCCTCTCGATGAAATAGGCAGCGTCTAGGACTTACAAATGTCTGCCTGATGCTTCTTTAGATCCAGTGTGCAGGGAAGCCGCCCGTCTTGTCCTGGGCATCTTCAGGAACAGGGTCTTTAAAGAGAGCCCATCTTGTCCTCACCCTCCATAGAGACCGAGGAGAGGCTGGTCAGCTCCACACGTGCTTAGGTAGTGCCTGATGTGTGTGGTGGCACCCATTCCCCCCATGTCTTCAGCAGTTATCAGTACCATAAGAGTCAGGCTCTCCCTGGGGGTTATGCTGTCTGGGCGCTTCTTACTGGCGTCCCTTCTGGCTTTCAAATGTACTTGTGTAAGCAGCATTGCTGCTGAGCGGTGTTAGAAAAAGGCACTTCTTGAAGCAGGAGCCTCATCTTTAAAGCACCTTCAAATGGATCTTGTTTGTCCTTTTCCTGTGTGGATTACCAGCTGTTTGGGAGTCTTGGACCTTGCCTTCCCAGTTCAGATGCCATCACAGCCTCACATTTTCATTAGAACGCAACCTGCGAGATCTGTGGCTTTCGCTGCCGAGTCCAGCTAGAGTGCCTGCTTTATCTTTGACTCAAGGCCACTGGTGTAAAGGGCTTAGCACGTGGGCAACAGTATCCCAGTAAGATCCCTCTTCGTGTCCCTGTCTTGGATACCAGCTGCTTGAAGCCAGGGGCCTTAGCCCTTTGCATTTCTCTTTTAAGAGGCCCCGCTGTCTGGACTACACACATACAGCCAGTGAGACCCAGTCACTTAGGTACCCCTGCCTGGGAGAGGGTGGGCTTTGCTTGAAAGGTAACACCGCTGCCTTGGGAGGACAATTTGGTCTTCAAGGGAAGCATGGTTACACATACACAGCCCAGTTCTTCTCAGATCAAATCTTTATGCAAGTGGGTTGTAATTCTGCAGAGTGCCATACCCCAGTGGCCCTTCCCATTCTAGAAATGGGTTTTCCTGTGCGGGAGTTTCCCTAGCTAGCTCTAGAAGTGACTAACTGAAGATATAAGGACGACTGATAACTTAGTACTTTTTTCCAGTTAATCACTCATGACATCTTTCCCAGCTTCCTCTAGGCAGGTCCTGGAAGTTGATAGCTTTTGGTGAAGTTTAGATTTAGAATTCTGAGTCTGCAGACGATCTGTCTTCTCTTTGCTCGTTAACCTCTGGCAGCAGTCCTGGCAGACCATACTGAATGGCATGGGTGCCTGATGGAAAATACCACTGAGCTAAAACACACTTCCAGGGCACCTGACTCCCACCCTGCCACCTTTCCATGGACGGGGAGTGGCAGAGAAGCTGCCGTGCTTGATAATCATGTGGCCACCCAAAGGGAGCTCCTGTCAGTGCTTAAAACCAAAATCCTGGCACAGTTCACTGAGAGAAGTCCGTGAATCGAGCGGAAGAAATCAGTTCTTGCCCCCTTGTACCCCATCCTCTCCATCTTCAGCTTAAGGAATCAAGCCCAGGCCTTGGGCACTTGTCCGGGAACCAGGGGAATGGGGAGGGACCTTCGCATGGCGCTGCAGTTCCTTCCTGGTGTCCGCGCCAGTGCCTTGCCTCCACCTGCACCTGGAGCCCATCTCTTGCTGCCTGGGTGCTGAGACCTTCTGCCACCCCAGGGGTGAACTTTGAAGCAGGTGTCTTCAAGAGCCCAGGGGACACTCATATTTTGAGGTGTCACCATTTTAAGCATCTTTAAAATATTTTATTTAAAAAAAGAAAATCTCTATCTTAGTGCCACCAATGGCCCAGTTCATCCATTGTGAATGGAAAGTGGAGACTGCCAGCACTTCCCTTGGTCTTCCCCCCTCCTTCTTCCTTAGTGTGTGGCCCCCTCACCCCCTCCCGTCCACTTCACTGTCGTGGATGGAGAGCAGAGGGCACTGTGCAGTCCTTGAGGCAGTCCTGTGTGACTCCATGTCCTGTCTGTATTTTTAATTGACCTTCTAAACCAGCACATGTTTGTAAATTAGGGGGAAAATGAAATTCTCTCCAATGGTTGCTGTTACAGTTAAATCAATAAAGATTTGATTATCAGCTTGGTGTTTTAAAGTTTTTGGGTGACATCCTGTGGGGTCATTTCACATCTCTGGAGTCTCGGCGGGTGGGGGAAATGGGCAAAGGTAGTTAGCAGCTTTGGTGTCAGTTTCCATGCTTGCAGGGCATGGCCGTTGTCAGTTGGGGCCCGTGTGTGCAAAGGGGAGCTTGCAGGGGCCGTGTATGTGTGGGACCACACGCACCCAAGGGGCCCTTCTCCCTGCAGCGGCTTTTCCTTTCCCTGAGCAGGGGCTGCCTCTGGCCTCAGCAGCATTTGTTAGGCAGCCATCATGTCTGATACCTGGAAATAGAGCAGGCTGGTACTAATCCAGCAAGGTGCACAAGCTGCCATTGGGAGCCAGCGTTCTGTCCTTTGGTGTTTCAAAGGTTGGAAATAGGTCCAGGGCACAGGTTTAGGACTCTGGCTTCAGCCCCGCCTATGCTGCCTAGAGCTGCATTACCTGCAGCAGGATTGATTTGTTTACTTGAAAGGCAGAGTTACACAGAGAGAGGAGAGGCAGAGAGAGGTCTTCCATCCACCGGCTCACACCCCAAATGGCAGGAACAGGAGCTGGGCCAATCTGAAGCCAGGAGCCTCTTCGGGTCTCCCACACGGTGCAGGGGCCCAAGGATTTGGGGCATCCTCCACAACTTATCCAGACCATAGCAGAGAGCTGGATTGCAAGTGGAGCCCCCAGGACTGTCGGTGCCCATATGGGATGCCAGCACTGCAGGTCCCTTTTTCAATTGAAAAAATGTATTTGAAAGGCAGAGACAGAAAGCTTTCATCTGCTGGTTCAGTCCTCAAATGGCTGCAGGAGCCAGGAACTCTGGTTCTCCCATGTTGGTGGCAGGGGCCCAAGCATGTGGGTCAACCCTTCACTGCTATCCCAGCTGCATTAGCAAGAAGCTGGACAGAAGGGGAGCAGCCGGGACTTGAACTGCAGCCCTTGTGGGATGCTGGCACCGCAGGCCGAGGCTTAGCCCATGCATTACCATACCAGGCCCCAATTTTTTTTTTTTTTTTTTTTTTTTTTTTAGAGAGAGATTGATTTGAAAGGCAGAGGAGAGAGAAATCTAACTCCATCCTGGTCTCCAACATGGGTGGCAGAAACCCAAGTGCTTGCCATATCTGCCTCCTAGGCACATAAACAGGAAGCTGGATCATAAACAGACAAAACTGGACTCCAGCCACTGATAGGGATGCAGGTGTCCCAAGCAGTAGCCACAACACCTGCCCCAGGATTCTTAATCTTTAACTCTCAGTTTTCTCCAACGTTTATTTGAAAGGCAGGATGATGTTAGATACATACAGAGAGTGCATTTTCATTTGGTGGTTCACTCCCTAAATGCCCACGTCAGCCAGGCCAGAGTCAGGAATCTAGAACTCAGGTGGCAGGGATCCAAGTACTTGAGCTATCTGCTACCTCCCAGGGTGTGCATTAGCAGGAGGCTGGACTCAAGTCCAGGCACTGTGGTATGTGTTAGGGGTGTTGATCATCAGCTTAACCCCCTGTACCACAACACCCACCCCTCAATTTTCTATAAGATAGGGTTAAGAAATCACTTTTCTAGGTGGTTGTGAGGCTCAGGTAAGATCAAGGAGAACACTTAGCTAAGAGTTTAATAAATGATAGCTCTTAGTAAAGGACTCACAGTTCTGGTGGCAGGAGCACCCAGAGGTTGTCCTGCTGGGTCTTCTCTTCCCTCAGAATATGCGAGTCTAGGGTGGAGTAGGTTTGACCACTGCAGTCACCACCTACTTGGGCCTCTGGAGTGAATACTCTAAGCAAAGATGGAATCACTGCATACATCCTTTGCCCCAAAACAATTGGGACAGAGTAAGAATCTTAGCTGGGATCAGCACTGTGGTATAGTGGGTAAAGCCACCACCTGCAGTTTTGGCATCCCATATGGGCGCCGGTTCGAGACCCCGCTGCTTTTCTCCAATCTAGCTCTCTACTATGGCCTGGGAAAGCCGTAGAAGATGGCCCAAGTCCTTGGGCTCCTGCACCTGCGTGGGAGACCCAGTCGAAGCTCCTGGCTCCTGATTGGCACGGCTCTGGCTGTTGTGGCCAATTGGGGAGTGAACCAGCAGATGGAAGCCCTCTCTGTCTCTTTCTCCCCCTCCTTCTCTCTCTCTCTAACTCTTTCAAGTAAATAAATAAATCTTTAAAAAAAATCTTACTGCTAATAAAAGGTGTGTTTTTGTTGTTGTTTTTAAGATGAGAATAAACCCTGGGTCCCAGCCCCTTCCCCACCCGTTCTCGTTCTCATTTCTACTTCTGTCTTTCAGGACCTTACCTGTTTCCCACTCCTGCCTTCTCCCAGGCCGCACACTTCCCCAGCCAAGGACTGGAAACGCATCCGGTTTTTCCCGCTCAGACAACCACTGACTTGCCAGTGCTTGTGAGTGGGTTTAAAGCACTGGCCATTCTGCTGCAGCCCCGGGTTCAGGCAGGATGTGGTCCTCAGTTCCCCACAGCTCACACAGCCTTCAGCCAGCTCACAAGGTCCAGGGCAGGAGCTGTGCCAGGCTGGCATAGGCAGGCAGCAGAGTGAGCCCACAGCTGATGGCAAACACTGGAGTTTTCGGCAGAGATCAGCAAAACGTGGAGCTTCTATGTGTCCGCGCATCCTCCTGTTGTGAGGCAGTGTGGTCAGGGAGCTTTGTCTCAGGCGCTGTAGCTGCAAACGGCCCTGGCCATCTGTGTGCTGTTGGGCACCTGCTTGGTGAAGAAGACGCCCTGAAGTCCTGGGAAGGACTTCATGGCCAGTTGGTTTCCCAGGGTGAAGGCCTGGCTCTGAAGCTAGGCGGGTGCAAGCCTCTGGACCCTGTCAAGAACAGTGCCCCCGGGGCTTGGAAAGACCAGAGCTGGGCTCCTGGCCTTGCCACTCATAGCTGCCTGGGGGAGGCCTCTCATAGTATCAGGAGGGGGATGGGACAGGCTCACTGTACTAGGCTACCCCCACTACTGTTCTCCAAGTAGGATCAGGCAGGATCCGTTGTGATTCTGAATTGGGGTTGGACCTGAACAAGCCTGCTTCCAGCCCAGGCAGCTAACAGCAGCACTGAGCTGTCTCAAGTCCAGGCCTGACTCGAGAAAATCCAACTCCTGCCTAGGCCAGGATTACCACTTCCACTGAACCCGAGTTCCCCCACCGCCAGAGGCTAGGCTTCTCGGGGAAGCAGGGGAAGGGGCAGGTCTACCATGGGCCTGCCGCCCCATCACCTTGTCCTGCCACCAGGGCTCTCCAAGGCCCCACTGAAGTTTTCCCATCCAGATGAAGGGGTGTGCACCAGTGTTGGAGCTTCCTGCTTAGGCTCCCCATGGCTTGGATGTGGTTCCTGTGCTGTGGGGCCTTATGGGAGGTGATGAGGGCATTAGGGGTGCTGCCTGAGAACAGTTAGTTCTTGGGGAACCCCAGTTCCCATGGTCGTGGGTTGTCCCTCTCTTCTTTATACACCCCCAGCCCCTGGCCTCAAGTGCAAGGATGCTTCAAATGGTTCATGGAAAAATGGAATTAAGGAAGACGTTTTATTTTGGTCCCCCCCAACATTTGCAATGTATGTGACTTTTTTTTTGGGAGACGCATGTTTCACAAACTTTTCAAAGATCTCTTGTATTTTGTTGAACAGCAGAAAATGGACTGATAGGGTTCCTTTCACTGAGCTGCTACATGGGACCTGGAACGAAGTCTGCCTTAGAACTCAGTCACCAGGAGCTGGCAGAGGTCAGGGGCCGTGGCAGACCCGAGGGCCCTGCACGCCATTCAGCTTTCAAAGAGGGTGATGCCGCCCAGGGGGGCGGTCTTGGCTTAAAGCGCCTGCTCCTCTGTGCCCTCCAACAGATGAATGCATTAGTGTCAGCCAGTGTGCATTTCACCGGAGGCGGCCCAGCCACCCAGCGGCTGAACTGCGGCCAGAGCCACCAGGTAGCCTGCAGCTCGGGCCTCAGGAACAGCACACGTGGAGAGACTGACCAGCTTTCACAGACTCGGGTTGTTTAAGTCTGCCAAAGCAGACCGACTTGGGATGGCAGGGCCCAGCTCCCAGTGCAGCACGGCCAGTCCTTGTGGAGGAGTTCCTGCCTCTCCCATCCAAGGCACCAGCTGGCCCAGAGAACCAGACAATGGCCTTATTGTGGATACAACTCATTAGCAGAGCTGACTCCAGGGAGCCTCTGGACAAGGTTGGCAGATTGCCCCTGGCCAGCCAGAAACATGGCGGTGTGTGTGGGGGCTCCCCTACCCCAGCCCTAGGCAGCCACAGCCGCAGGGCTCAGTTCAGTCTGATATGAGGACTCCTAATCTGGGGCAGGGGCCGGGTCGTGGACCACTTCTGAGAGCTTAGGGAAGCTGTAGATCGTGTCCTAGCTCAAAAACCAACACGCACGTGCCCCACTGTGCACGTACAAGTTCAAGGGCTTCATAGGGTCACATGGTCAGGGCAAGAACTCCCCCACACATGCACCTTTGTCTTTTCGAGAGAAAACCGTGTCAGCCCCCGTCCCAGGCCTCCTCCGCCCGCTTCCTGACGAGGCCCCTGCTGGGCCAGCCTCCGCAGAGCCCTCCATGGACAGCGGGGGCAGCCGCTCGGCTTCAGTTCTGGCGGGCAAAGCGGCTCGTGCCCTCCTGCATTCTGCCCGGAGCGGCTGATGATTATTCGACGGCTTCCAGGAGCTCCCCGATGCTACGAACGGGCCAATCCTGCATCTCCAGGATCCCGTCAAAGGCAGCCGCACTCCTCCACAATCATGTCCTTGTGGTGGTCCAGCAGCACCCTGCCGTTGTCCACGTAGAGCATGCTCAGCGGCTTGGTCTTCACCGGGGCGCAGCAGGTGGAAGGGACTCGGTGAGGGTGGTAGCGCTTCAGGAGGCTCTGAAAGGGAGACAGGGGGCTCAGTTCCCATCCCAATGGGCAGGTCGGGGGGCAGGACTTAGGAGTAAAAAGTTTAAAAAAATTAAAATCAGATTCTGGGGGCAGAAATGAAGAAAGTTGTTTTCTTAAACTGGCATGCCAATGCAGCACCAGCTCTGAGGTCTAACTAGCTCTGCGTTTATTTTTTGTTTTTGTTTTGATTTAAAAAGAATGGCCTTGGGGCACTGTGGCTCAGCGGGTTAATGTCCTGGCCTGAAGCACTGCCATCCCATATGGGCGCCAGTTCGAGACCTGGCTGCTCCACTTCCTATCCAGCTCTCTGCTATGGCCTGGGAAAGCAGTAGAAGATGACCCAAGTTCTTGGGCCCCTGCACACGCGTGGGAGACCAGGAAGAAGCTCCTGACTCCTGGCTTTGGATCAGCCGTTGCGGCCATTTGGGGAGTGAACCAACGGATGGAAGACCCCTCTTTCTCTCTTTCTCTCTCTGCCTCTCCTCTCTCTGTGTAACTCTGACTTTCAAATAAATAAATAAATCTTTAAAAAAAATAAAAAGGACAGCCTTTAAACAAAAAAAAATTCAAAAAGTTACATGTGTCTGGGTGGCAGTGGCTAACTTGTATATTCCATTTTTTAAAGATTTATTTATTTATTTGCGTTCCAGCATAGAGTAAATACCAATTTCACACTATTCTGAGGAACTCTTGAAAAGCGGACTTGTGGAAATTCTCATGGGATTTGCTTTGTTGGCCAGAGAGGGCCAAGGAGAGTCAGCGGGAGCAGAGCGCGCTACCCGAGAGCCGCCCTTGTCGCCAGAGTGTCAGAGCTGGCGACCCGGCTGTTTGCTTCTCTGTGGTTCCCGTGCAGCCTGCTGCAGGTGGAGGGGGTGGCCCCACCCGCTGCCTGGACCCTGACCTGGTCAGAGGCTCGGGCTGGAGGAGGTGCCGCAGGTCCCCAGGGTTCTTACTCCAGGTGTCATGGGGTAAATGGACACCTGACCTGAGGGCAGGGCAGGGCCACCTGCAGCGGCAAGGTTCGGCTCTGTTCCGTTCTTTCTGCCTCCTTCCCCTTCCTAACTCACTGTTCTTTCTGTTCTTCTCCCCTGCCGCCTCCTAGGCCTTAGGCTGCTCAGTGGTACCTGGTGGCTGCCTCTGGCCCTCTACTCCTGCAGGCTGTGTGGTCAGCTCTTGTTTTAGGAGCAGAAGGCTACAGTGTCAGGGCTGGGGAGGAGCTGAGCCCCTCCAGACCACTCCCACTGCTAATTTTGTCAGATGGGAGAAATCCCAGGAAGCGATGTGCCGCAGGCTGCCCGTGGTGCTTTGAGGGTGCTGTGATGGGTCTGCCATCCCTGCACCTCTAGGACCCAGCACAGGAGCTGGCCCATGGCAGGTGCTCCAGCGAATGCAGGAACACAGCGGCTGAACAGCAAAGCTGGCATCCTGCCCCCCAACCCCCATGGAGCAGGGCTTCGGCCCTGCTTCCCACCTGGATGTAGGCGTGGTTGGTCGGATGAAATTCCTCTCCCACGGGGTTAGGACACTCGCCCTCACAGCGGTAGGCGTTGTACTGCTTGGGGTAGATGATCCAAGAGCCCCAGCCGATGAGGTTGAAGTCCACCTGGAACTTGACCTTGCGGCACAGTTGGCTTCTGTCTGGCAACTGATGCCGCCGGTGCCTCCTGCCCCTCTCGGAGTCCAGCTGCCCCTCCTGGGCCCGCCAGGAGCTCTCGGCTTCCCACAGCAAGGTGGAGCCGCCCAGCCGCCTCTGCTCCTGGGAGAGGTTGGAGTGGAGCACGAGGACCACGGTGGGGACAGAGTCGGTGCCGGGCAGGGTGCCAGGTGGAGTAGGGGGTAGCCGCCAGCACGCTCCGGCCAGACTGGACACCTGCTCCTCCAGTGCCCTGGGGTGCTTCAGCCACTTGGAGAGTGGCCTGGTCACCTCCAGGACCATGCTGCCTGAGGAGAAGGTGACCTGGGACAGAGCGACGGTGAACACCTCCATCCGGAGACGCTCCAAGCAGTCGGCCGGGTCCTGCTCTGTGTCTGCCTTGGGCTGGTGGAAGATCTCAATGGTGAGCGGGCCCTCGGCGGGCAGGTCCTCGGGGCCAGACGGCTGCAGCCGGAGCTCAGCCCACGCCAGCTCTTCTTCTTGGCTCAGGAAGGAGAAGTCAAAAGCAAAGGTCCAGTTCCGCCCAGCCACCTCCACGTCTGGGTGGGGAGAAAACCAGGAAGGAAGCGGGTGAGTGCCCCCCCCCCAAGCTGCAGCCAGAGTGACAGCCACCACAACTCAATCCGCACCCAAACTACAAATTGCTAACGTTACCAAGTGAGGAGAATGGAGTCACCCAAGTTGCTATTATTGGAAAATGGCAGAGCCAAGAGTAAACTTGGATTCGCTCAACTACCAAACCACCACTGTCAGTGCCCCCCACCCGAGGCAACCAGAGACCAAGGGGCAGAAATTGGAAGGCAGGTCTCCCCCTTTCTCTTCTCCCTCACATCCGGGGCTCTGAGCCTTCTAACCTGAACCTTGGGCTTCCACTCTCCCTGTAAGCCCGACACAAGCGATTGCCTTGGGCTCCCGGCATGTATGGGTGCCATGGACAAGCTCAGAGCTCTCAAGGAGGCACGGGCAACAGGAGCCAAGGGCTGGCTGCCCGCTCCCTGCCCCTTCCTGAGGACAGACGCAGGAACCTGCTGTCCTCCCTCCACCCACTGGTCTTCCCTGCACACCTCCAGGACCCTGCCCCCCTCCTGCCCCAGGTGGCTCGGGCACCAGCGGCTGCTGTGCAGCGAGCAGCAGTCACGAAGCCACCCAGGACAGGCAAACCCGGACGAGACCAGAAGGCACACTGGTTGGGGACCGGGCGCACACTTCCTTGTTCCAGGGCTCGGTCCCCCTTCTTCCCGATGGGAAGAGGACTGCACTAGCCAGCTCTGCGCATGGATTTATTCATTAGAAAAGCGCCAGCGTCATGACTCCTTCCGGAATGGGTTCTGGTAGTGATGCTCTGTTCAGGTCCGGGCTGCACAGAGCACGCGCACTCGCACTCACAGTTTGTTTTATTGACTGACAAGGCCTCTCTGGTCACAGAGGAGTTGCAGGGGAAGGACAGCCAGCCTCTCCCGGCCCATCTGCAGCTGCTCCTTTTCACTTAGTTTCCAATTCCCTGCTCGTTAACACCTGCAGGAGGCAATAACCGGTCCCCAGGAGCAAGAATCCCGCAGAGGCCGGGGAGGAGGCCGACCTTACCCATTAGCTCTTGCTGCACCACCTGGCCATCTGGGACTTAGGCGGGACACTGGCAACTCCCGGCGACCCGTACCAGGAGGCCTGGGCGCAATAAACTGAAAACTGTTCTATCTCAGGGCAGGTGTTGTGGGACAGCATCCCATGTTGGAGTGCTGGCTGCTCTGCTTCTGATGCAGCCCCTGCTACTGTACCTGGAAACACAGCAGCAGCAAATGGCCCGAGTGCACGGGCCCCTGCAACTCACATGGGAGACCTGGATGGAGTGCTGGCCTAGCTCCAGACACTGCAGCCATTTGGGGAGTGAGCCAGTCATGGAAAATCCAGACACCTCCAAAGTTCAACACACATTGGCTATCAGTCAGAAATGAAGGTGTCATGTGACCAGGCCGTGAGCGACCTGGACAGGACAGGGCAGTGTGTGTGGAGAGGTGGAGAAGCCTGCCCGTCTGTGACTCCTTGACCTCCCCCCTCCCCAGGCTTCCTGGGTCACAGTGCTGATCACAGCCCTAGACCTGGCTCTGGTCATCTCGGAATAGGGATTTCTAGTCATCTGGAGGTCACTGATGCTGATGGGGACTGGCGTTGTGGCGTAGCCGATAAAGCCGGCTGTGACAGTTTGCATCCTGGCTGCTCCCCGCTAATGGTCTGGGAAAGCAGAGACAGTCCAAGTATTTGAGCCCCTGCACCCGTGTGGGAGACCTGGAAGAAGCTCCTGGCTGCAGTTGGCTCAGCCCAGGCCACTGCAGCCATCTGAGGAGTGAAACAGCTGATGGAAGATCTCTCTCTGACTTTCAAATAAATAAATCTTTTAAAAATACAAAATATTATCCCCCAGCACGGGGGTGGGGTGGGGCTGAACGCGCCCACGTAATACCACAAGTGTTATCTGAGGGTGAATGCACAGGAGGGCTCACAGACATCCTGAAAACCACCCACGTGGGCAGTGCAGACCCCAGTGATGTCTTGACTTGCTCCACTCCAAAGAGCAAGTGGCTGGGTCCCTGACCCTCCCTGAGGCTGAGGAAGGGCCAGGGTCAGTCCCTCTGGGAAAGGAGGGTGTGGATGAGCCAGGCCCCCTGCATTGTCCTTAGCCATCCTAGCCATCAGCAGAGTAGCTGCCAAGTGTTTCGGGAGCATTGTCTCTGCAGACCCTTCCCACCGCGTGTACCCTCCCCCCCCCCCCCCCCCCCCCCGCAGCTGAGGAGCTGAGGTCCAGGGTGAAGGATGTGGCAAGCTCAGGTGCAAACCCCGTGTGGCTGGACCTCAACATGCCGCTCACATCCGTCCCACCTCCCAGGGCGAGGAGCAGGTGGGAACTTTACTTCACCACGCTGTCTCCCTCTCTGTCTCCGCCTTTCAAATAAGGCCAGAGGAGAGGCCGGTGCTGTGTCATATCGGATAAAGCCAATATGACATCTCATATGGTCACCGGTTTGAGTCTCAGCTGCTCCACTTCTGATCCAGCTCTTGCTATGGCCTGGGAAAGCAGTGGAGGATGGCCCAAGTCCTTGGGTCCCTGCACCCACTTGGGAAGACCTGGATAAAGCTCCTGGCTCCTGGCTTCAGATCGGTGCAGCTCCAACTGGGGGGTGAACCAGCAGATGGAAGACCTCTCTCTCTTTCTCTCTGCCTCTCTTCTCTCTGTGTAACTCTGACTTTCAAATAAATAAATCATTTTTTTTAAATGGAAAACAAAGACATAGCAAGCTATGAGTGTACTTAATGCCGTTACACTTAAATAATGGTGGCATGGTGAATTTTGCGGTGTGCATTTACACACCTGCAGAAAGAGAAGTTCACTGACTGACCAGCCGAGCGAGGCCCCGGGCCAGGGACACACAGAGCTGGGGAGCAGACGCCAGCTTCCCGGTCTGTGCACCTTTCCAGAAGGGAGGGCCCCGGCAAAGGCGCGCGCTCTCCCTCGCCCCCATCCCAGGCGGGCCGCCCTCTGGCCGAGGGGTCGCGCCCCGCCCGCCCCCTGGGGGGTCCCCGTCCGGCAGGGCCTGGGGTGACCCTTCCGGAGAGGGTCACAGCCGCCGAACTGCGGCGCTGGGATCCCGCCCAGACCTACGAGGGGCGGGCGGGCGGCGCGTCGGGCGCGCTGCAGGATGTGGATTGCGGCCCGCGCAGGGGAGGGCCGTCTGGCCCCGCAGGCGGAGGGCGGGCCGGGAGGCGGAGCTGCTCGCACTTCGTGCTGCGGATCGCTCCGGGAGGGGGTCCTCTCCTCGACCTCAGCCTGCTCCGCCCGCGCCGGGCCCAGACACCCGCCACCCGGAACGCGGGTCGCTCCGGCACTTGCCCCCACCCCATCCCCGGCTCAGCACCCAGGGCGGCCTCCAGCCTCCGCTTCCCTCACCTCGGATCTGTGGGCCCCAATCCTTGACGTCACACTGCCAGCACCAGACCCAGGGACCCATTCACCCTTACTCGCAAAGAGGGGAAAAAACACTGGACAGAAGAATTGTAGCAATAATGCTGGCTTATGGCTATGGTGCCTGGTCCCCGTTGGGCGTGTTGCGGTGGGTGTCGCCCCGTCCTTCCCCCCAGGGTTAGACCTGGGAAGTCTGCTCGCACTGCTGTCCCCATTTCACGGATACGCAAACCGAGGCGGCCAGCTTGTCCCGTCAGAGAGCCGCGCCGCGGTCAGGCCCCATTACTACCCCAAACCGAGACCCGGGAGACAGGTCTCCCTGTCGGGGTCACATCCTGGGCGCTGGACTCCCTCCCCTCTTGACCACGGACCCCTCTCGGCCACCACCCGGTGCACCGAGCCTGTGGACGCTTAAACACCGTAGATGCAGGCCCTGGACACACCCTCCGACCCCCGGGCGGCGGCGTCCCCAGGCAGGAGCCGCAGCCCCCGACTCCCAAGCTTAGCGCGCCCCTGAGTCCGTCGGCAGCTCCTACCTTGCGCCTGCAGGCTGCGGATGATGTCCGCGCGGGGCAGAGGGTCGCGGTAGAGGCTCAGCATGTATGCAAGAGGGGACGGTGACGAGGACTGCCTCCGCGTACGTAGGGGCACGGTGGCCATCGTCGCGGCGTCCACCTGGAGCAGGGTCCAGCAGGCGTGCAGTAGGAGGAACGCAAGACGGTGGGCGTGCATGGTGGGCTGGACAGACCCGAAAGCTGCGCCTCTGCCGCTTATATCCTGGCCCTGCACAGCCGCCCCGCCCTTCCTCCCGCCTGGGAAGCTCTAAGATCTCATACCCGGCCACCTGCAGGGGGGAGGGAGGTGTGGCGCCCCCCCCCCCCCCCCCCCCCCAAGGCAGGCCAGACCAGATCCGAGCCTGAGATCCAGGGGCGGCTCTGGACTCTGGCTATTAAAGAGGGGTGCTGCGGGGTTAGGCAGCTTGTTCCCCGCAAAGCCCCAGGGCTGAATGGTGGCTTCCTCCTTGGGCCACCCCAGGATCCCTGCTCCTTCCTCCAGTCCTGGGACATCAAGAAGCAGGTGGGGAGCGCTGGGGCGTCGGCGGGCTCCTGGGCAGGCTGTGGCTGCCTGCATAGGCCTGGGATGCTTTGGACAGCCAGCCTGGCTGTAGCGTCTCCCCCAGGGCACTGGCTGGGTGAGCACCCCCGGCCTGCTCAGGCACAGCCTGCCTGGGGGGCCAGCTTCCCATGTGGAAATGAACAGGAGGGACCAGGATAAGAGACGTCTCCATCGGAAGAAAGTCTTCAGCGAAAGCAGAGCCAGGCCAGGACACAATCCTGGTGGCATCAGGCTCTCCCGCACCCACCCCCCCCCCGCACACATCACCCCAGTGATGTCTGCAAAAAATGTGCAGCCCGGGACCAGTTCCAGGACACTTGGGCTTCAGATCTGGACACCTCGCTTCCCTCAGTGCTCTCTGGGGTCTGCTCGCCTGATCTGCATAAGAGACATCCTGGTATTGTCTCCCTTCCCGGTCCTGCCTGGTCGGAGCTGGAACTGCCCTTAAAGAAATGTAAATTCCTGCCCCAGGATCCCCACCTGTTTTCCTCAACACCAGAGGGCTTTTTCTCCTGGTGCACTTTTCCTTTTTCTGCCCAGAGGAGCACCGTGGCAGCTCCAGAACCTGTCCTGAACACTTCCATGTGCCAGGTACAGGGCCTGGAGCTTCCCACACCTCAGCTGGATCCCAGGATTCTCCCAAATCCAGAGAGCCACAGCCCCTCCCTGAGCAGGTGTGAGAGAGGGGAGGCGGCTCAGCGGGCTCAGCCGGGAGCTCCAAGCCTGTGTTCCCCTCAGGAGGAGGCTTGTCCCTGCCAGCTGGCAGGAGCCACACCCCATAACCAGGCGACCTGGGTACCCTGGCCTGGTGGTGCACCCAGCCACCTGTTCATTCCCTGTGGGGCTCTCTGGTTCCTCCTACTCTCCCCCAGTACGCATCATAATTGGGACCCAAAGGATCTCCGTTAAGTAAATAAACCAGTGCAGGGCACTGTGTCCGGACTTGCCTGAAGATAAGCCTCACCAAGGGTGTCTGGTTAAACTTCGGATTCCTGAGCCCCGCCCAAGGTCTTCAGAAGGAGAATTTGAAGGGAGGACTTGGTCATCTACATATTTAACAAGCACCCCAGGGACTCACCAGATGCCTTTGGGAACCTGGGGGAGGGGGTGGGTAGGGTTCTAGCTGGTTCTGTTGCTATGTGGTTTCACCACCAGTAAAACACGGCTGGAGATGGGTCCTCCCGTGCCGCATCCCTGAGCGTGGATCCTGATGTCATCGCAGGGCATTGCGCACTGGCGATATTCTTAGGGCCCTCCCTGGTTGTCTTCCCTCTTCCCCAGCCTGCAGGCTCGCAGGCAGAGGTTGGTCAAACCCAGCCCCCTTCTTTAGACTCCTCCCCAGAAGCTGAAGGCACCCTCTTCCAGGCTATGGGACCATTCATGGAATGATGCTGACTGTGGAAGTCCCTGGCCAGGACGTGGCACCATGAGCAGCTATAACATGGGGGAAGTACAGACAAGTCCAGCACAGGAGTCCAAAGTGCATCCCGGAACCCAGATCTCCCCAGTGAGTGGGACATTCAGCAGGGAGCAGCCTTAGTCACCAAGACTGGGGAAGGAACAAAATGATGACTCATCAGCTTCCTCTGCTGGATCAGAAGCTTCCTGAAAATCAGCTTTATCCATTCCCCACCCCCTGCACTGTGTGGCCCACAGTAGGTGCCCAATCACCCTTTAATTGGGAATGACTGCTGATAACAATAGCTCTTGTCTATTGAGTGCCCGATGCCTCAGGCGCTTGGTAATCGTTGCGCTGGTTCTGTCCTGGGCCCCACTGCGGACAGGAGAGTGGACGCTCAGAGGGGGCTGAGAGTGGAAGAGCAGGTGTGCTGTCACCCAGGCCCGCACCTTTCTCCTCCATTGCTTCCTCACAGACGAGCGATGAAAATGGGCCTCCGACTTAGATACCAAAAAAAAAAAACCCCAAAACCAAAAACCAATTCTCATCAAAGTCTTGCATTTCCCAGGGCCTGGGACTGCAGACAGAGCTCATTTCTGATGTGTATTGGCCCACGGCCGAGCGCGGGGTTCTGGAATTTCTCTGTGGCCAGTAAGGGCAGCTGGCAAGGCTCATCAATCTCTGAACTTTCTGGTAGGAGCGGAGTCTCCGGAGCCTCTTCAGCACAGGGGCCAATACACGTCTCATTTTTAAAGGACGTCAGTTGGTCCGGGATGTGTTTCCTGCAAAACACCAGAAGAGCCCTTCGGGGAGTGACACTTCTCACTTCCCCTGCCCCAGACAGACTGACCCACTGATTACCTGACCTGGGAGATAACCCCTGAGGGCTGTCCCAGCCGACTGCGGCTGCGGGGTGGGGGCAAAGTCCCTTGAAGTTCTCCAGTGCTTTCCACGGGGCATTCAGCCCCCTCCCTGCCATGAGCAGCAATGGGCAGTACGGCTCGTGCTTGGGCCCCGGGAAGCAGAGTGTGGATCCTGCTCCACCACTTGGGGCCTGAGTGCATCAGGCCGGTCACTCAGCATCTTGAAGCTTCAGCTTGCTCAGCTGTCAACGGGAGAGAAATACCAACATCCACTTGCCAGGAAGGTCGTAAATGCATAGAGTGTAGTGTGTGGGGCTGGCATTGTGCAGGCCTGCAGTACCTGCAGTTTTGCATCCGCGGATCCAACCAGCTCCAGACTGAAAATTCTGAGAAAAACACCTCATCTGTACTGAACGTGAGTAGTACTTTTTCCTTGTCATTTTCCCTTAAAAAATCCAGTACAACTCTGCCTAAAGGTCACATGGCAGTCATGGTCAAAAGTCATCTAGAGAGGGTTAAAGTATATGGGAGGGGGTTGGCGCTGTGCTGTAGCAGGTAAAGCCACCGCCTGCAGTGCCAGCATCCCATATGGGCACCGGTTCGAGTCCCAGCTGCTCCACTTCCAATCCAGCGCTCTGCTGTGGCCTGGGAAAGCAGTGGAAGATGGACCAAGTCCTTGGGCCCCTGTACCCACGTGGGAGACCCGGAGGAAGCTCCTGGCTCTTGGCTTCGGATCAGCGCAGCTCCGGCCATTGCGGCCAATTGAGAAGTGAACCAGCAGATGGAAGACCTTTCTCTATCTGCTTCTCCTTCTCTCTCTGTGTAACTCTTTCAAATAAATAAATAAATAAATCTTTAAAAAAAAAAAAAAGGTGAAAGTGCAAGACAAGGAAAATCTTACCTTGTATGGTGGGAATAAAACTGAAAAATCACAAAGAAGTTATACAAACATGTTAAAGCATCTGGGAGGGCCAGGCAGTGGCGACACCTGCACCCCACATCAGAGTGCTGAGTTCCAGCTCTGCTCCAGATTCCTGCTTCCTGCCGCTGCGCATCCTGGGAGGTAAGAGGTGATGGCTCAAGTATTATTTCAAAGACCCTGGCTTTGGCTTGGCCCAGCCCCTGTTTCATTGTAGGCATTTGAGGGAATGAACCAGCAGAAGGGAGATCTCTGTTCTCCTTTCAAGTAAATACAGTTCACATAAAATTCAGAAAATAAAGTATATGGGTATGTGTGGGTTCACTGCAAACACTACACCATTTCACCTAAGGGACCTGAGCGCCCGCACCTGTCGGGGCCCTGGGTTCGTTGTCCGCAGACACCGAGGGAGGGCGGCCTGGGGAGCCTGGGATTTGTGAGTGGCAGTGTCGTGAGCTGGCATGTATCTGCTGCCTTGTGTGCCTCCAGGGCCTAGAGCAGCACATAGGGGCCAAGGCCATGTCCCCAGACACCCCCAGACACCCACGCCTGCTCTGTCCCTGCCGCTTGCCTCCTACTCCTCCATCAAGACACAGTTGAAAGCCCCCTCCTCTACAGACTGGTTGTCCGGCCTCCCCAGAGATTCAGTACCCGCGAGCAGTTGTTCAAACTGCCTTCGGTGACTCCCCACTCTGGAACCCCAGCCACTGGCCCATCACCCAGCACAGCCAAGAGCTGCAGCGTGAGTGAACACGTGCACCCCAGTGGGTGACAGGCGGGAGAGCACTGCCTCCCTGCTCCCACCTGCAGTGCCCCACGCTGTTGGTTCTGGAGGCTGGTATCCAGGGCTGAGGGACCGCCTGGGTGCCTGCTGGGCACATGTGGCTCACTGTGATACGGAGAGAGAGCCGAGCCTGTACCCCCAGCCCTGCTGCCCTCAGCCCTCCCCTCTGAGGCTCTGTATCCCAAACGCCTGTGCCCGAGGCTCCCAGCTCTGCCCTCTGTCCTGAATGGCTTTACCTCTCCCTACTCACACAGACTCCAACCCAAGGGTCTTGTCTTCCACGAGGTCTCCCGTGGTCTCAGGCACTTTTCCCCATTCAGGCTCTGACCCCAGCCATCCTTTGTGTATCGGACAAGGTCCTCTAGGCCCTAGGGGTTTGCCGCCAGTCTGTGCCTGGTCTGTGTCTCTCCGGAGCGCTGAGCCTAGGGCCTGGCATTCAGGAAGCAGAGGCTGCAGCCGGCCTCAGCTGGAAGCGGTGCCTTGTCTGCTCCACCCAGGTTTTCTTTCTTTCTTTCTTTCTTTCTTTCTTTCTTTCTTTCTTTCTTTCTTTCTTTCTTTCTTTCTTTCTTTCTTTCTTTC